TGGTGAAGTAGCCCCTCCTCACATGGGAGTAACCCAGCAGGGGAGGCTCAGTCCAGACTGCACCACCCATGTCTCCATCCTAAATACTGTGCACCAAAGCTTCTGACACCGAGGAATGCACTGGCATGGCAGTCTCTTGTCAGCAGAATCCAGGCCCCATGCCCATGTTCTGATTTAATGGGTCTGGGAGGGACCCAGGAATCTGCTTCCTTCACATGTATGCCACCTGATTCCATTGCACACAGGCCAGATGCACTGACAGAAGTGGCATCAGGGTGTTAGGTAGGACTATGTCATCCCTGTAGGTAGCAGTGGGCATTTCCCCCCAAAGGGAATGGGGCTACCCTCTGACATTCATTCTGGGAAGGGCTAGGAAGGCTATCCCGAGACCAGGGGAAGGGGATGTTTCTTCCCTCTGGGCCTCATGTTCTTGGGCCCGGATTCTAGGGAGCCTAGAAGGGCTTGGAAATACTCCGGGTTGGGGTGGTGAGAGAAGTTGGTCTCTAGAGCGTGGAGGTAGGCTGGGGTTAGGCTGGCAAGCATGGTCAGTACCCCATGGGTGTGTCCACTTCTCCCTGATTCTCAGCTCTTGCTAACAGTCACGGCACCACCCAAGCTGTGATGTGGAGAGGTCGAGTCTTCCGCTAGGTCTGCACCTACTCCTAGGGTGGAGGAACAGCTGGGGGAAGAGAATATACTCCCAGGGTGAGCACAGCAGCAGCAGCAATGGCCTTCTGAGTCTCACCCTGGAAACTGCTGGAAGTGAATCCAGGCAGTGTGGACTCCCAGAGCCCAGAACTGTGAGGGAAACCACTGGGCATGCAGCCCTCATCACTCCTGTCCAGAATAAAAGCAAGTTAGATGGGGCGGACTGGTCCTTTGGCCACACCAGAGGACTCCTCTGAGCAAACTTGGGGTTTTATTACTAATCTGCCACTTGTACCCTGAACCAAGAAGAGCCAGGCAGCAATGTGTCTTTATTTACACATCTATTTATTAAAATCCACATTTACATGAATGGGTCTTTTTCTTCAGATACAAAGCAAATACAGGTACTCCTCACTTTACAGATAGGTATGCTCCAGCGGAGGGCAGCAGTCAAACGCGACTCCTGAGAGAGAGGAGGGGAGTTGAGAGGCCACAGCTCCCTCTGGGCGCATCAGGTTTCGGCTCATTCAGCCTCCAGGCACTTTCAGCAGAGGCTGATATGGTCACCTGGGGAGGAAACCTGCAGCTAACTGCACCTCTCTCACTGATGTGAGTGTGTGCTAAACAGGGCAAAACCAGGCTGACAACCAGAGCTATATGTTTTGTACAAATTGCTGCTGCTTTTTTTCTCTTTTTTTTTTTCTTTTTTTGCAATTTTTTAGTAGAGACAGGTTTTCACCATATTGGCCAGGCTGGTCTCAAACTCCTGACCTTGTGATCTGCCTGCCTCAGCTTCCCAAAGTGCTGGGATCACAGGTGTGAGCCACTGCAGTCGACCTGCTTCTTCTTTTTTTTATTAACTTTTATTTTACACGTGGAAGTATATTTCTGAGTTGCTATAACTATTGTACTACAAATTGTTTCCAAATTCATTGTGATTTTTCATACCTTTTAAGTCTGACCACTGACCCAGACCTTATTCTACACACATACAATCAGGATACCCCAAATTTCTCACAGTTCCTCAAAGTAAACCATGGTATTTTCTTTTCTTCTCCTTCCTCGTGCTGCTTCCTCCTCGTGGAAGGCCATGCTGTGTTCTCTGGCTGACAAACTCTTGCTCAGCCTTCAGGTTCCTGCTCACCTATCAGGCCCTCCTTGAAGCCTGCCCTGCCCTCCCACCACCCCCACCCCGTGGCACCAGGGACGACTTTGGTGGAGCATCGCACACCGGGGACACTGGCTTACTGGTCTCTCCAGCGCCTCTGTGTGATGAGCCCATCAATAACGATCTCTTCTCTTTGCCTTTTGCTCTGAATGAGAAGGATCAAATTCAGCAGCATGTTGAATAACGGTGGAAGAAATAACAGTGGTGGCTTGGCATGGTGGCTCATACCTGTAATTCTAGCACTTTGGGAGGCCAAGGTGGGCAAATCACTTGAGGTCAGGATTTTGAGACCAGCCTGGCCAACATGGTGAAACCTGGTCTCTACTAACAAAAATTAGCCAGGCATGGTGGCGGGTGCTTGTAATCCCAGCTACTCGTCAGGCTGAGGCAGGAGAATCACTTGAATCCAGTAGGCAGAGATTGCAGTGAACTGAGGTCACAACACCGAACTCTAGCCTGGGCCACAGAGTGAGACTCCATCTCCAAAGAAAAGAAAGAAAAAGGGGGAAAGAGGGAAGGAAGCAAGGAAGGGAGGAAAGGAGGAAGGGAGGGAGGGAAGGAGAAAGGGAGGAAGGGAGGGAGGGAGGGATGGATGGGACAGTGGGGAGGGAGGGGACAGTGGTCAAAACCAGTGGGAAGTTGGGGTGATTAATTTTATGTATCCAGTTGACTGGGCCATGGGGTGCTTCGGTATTTGATGAAAGTTTCTGTGAAGATGTTTCTGGCTGAGATTACCATCTGGATCACTCGACTGAGTAAAGCAGATTCCACCCCTACTCCAGGTGGTGCGCCTCATCCAGCCCATACCTCATCCAAATCCGAATAGAGCAAAAGGTGGGATTTGGGGAAATTTGCTTTCTCTGCCTGACTCTCCTCAAGCTGGGATGTTGGTCTTCTCCTGCACTTGAACTAGAACTTACACCACTGGGTCTCCTGGTTCTCAGGCCTTCATATTTGGACTAAAACTACTACCCACTGTTAGGTCTTAAGCTTTCAGGCAGTAGGTAGCAGTACTTCTCAGCCTCCATAATTGTGACAAGTCCAAACAGATAAAGGTTTAGATATAGATGTAGATATAGACTACATAGATATGCATATACATCTCCTATGGGTTCTGTTTCTCTGGAGACCCTGACTAATACAGAAGTCGAGAACTAAGGCTGCTCTTCAGTCCCAGAGACCCTGACTCCACCTACCTCTATGCACTATCATCTAAGCATGGAGCGTTCTGGTCCATGATGTCTCCCGAGTTTCAGCCATCAGGTATATGTTGCAGGCATCTGGAAGGAGGAAGGGACAAAAACAGGGCCTCCCCTCCCCTTTTTCTTTTTTCATCTGGGGCCTGCAAGGACAGCATACCCTACCCCGTACCCTCAAGGGGAAGGGGGGCACCGGGGGCCTCCAGTTATTCTCCACCTCTCATGTCTCTTCACCGTGCCAGACTAGAGTCAAACTCAACAGGGTCTTCTTTCCCTGCTGATTCCGCCAAGCCCATTCCCTTGGCTGTGGTTTCGCTGGTTAGTAGGTAGGGACAGTGGGAATCTCCACTTCATTCATTCATGCGTGTGACTAATTAGATGACAAGGCATCCAGCTACTTAAGAGAGTCACAGTTACTCCTTTATCTGCACTTCATTGAATTTCTTCACCTCGGCATTCAGAGCACTGCACAGAAATCATATCGCGCCAACACCCGCCGTGGGCCTTCGTGATGCCCCCTCCTGTGCAAACACATTTGCACAAGCAAAAATATTCCAGGAGGATTATTCTTGCCCAGGGTTACCTGATAGCAAGATGAGTAGGTGGGAGCACAGGAGGAAAACATTTCTTTTTTTACTTTACAAACTCCTATGTTGTTTGATTTTTTTTACACTGAGCACATGCTACTTTGTTAACATACAATGAAAATTAATAAAAGGCAAAAATCGAGCTTCTTTGCTGGCATCCATCAATGATCAAGCCTTGATCATGTGCCTCACATGGACCATCTCCAGATGTAGCTTCTGTCCTCTAATCCTCACAAGAGCCCTACACATCCTATACAGTGTTTTCTCCATTTGACAGATGGGGACACTAAGTCTCAGTGGAGGTGAGACACCTGACCAAGCTCACTCACACAGGAGAGAAGTGGTCAAGCCTGGGAGCAGAGCCTGCGTCCACAGGATGGACCCCGATGCTAAGCTTTCCGACTCCTTCCCTTCCCATCGCTGGAATGGGACTGGAGCTATTTTTGTAATTTTCCCAAAACTGACCTTAGGAACTCTCCTTCAACCATAATGAATGACAAACACGACCAGCTACAGTGCCCTTATATGATGAACCAGGTTCATGCCAAACTTTTCAGGTTTCACCAGAATGTAGGCAACAGCCTAAATAACACCAAATAAGGTTCAGAGCAGCTGGTGACTGGGCTCCAAGACTTAACCGATTCTTGTCTTTAAAATGTTCTGGTCATTTAGATGTTCACTGGGAATTTAACATCACTGAGGAAATGGGTTAAAGGAGTTAAATGCCCAATTCATAACGGAAAACTATCTTAAACTACTTGTAGATTACTGTCTTTCCTGAAGCAAGCAGTGGAGTGCCATGGAAGCCAGGTAGCATGTGGCATTTGGATAGTGTATGCTTCTTGGGAACCGTCCTCAGAGAGATATCCATTTTCCTCTGTTTTAAAAATGCTCTCAAAGCATCTAATAGTATCCCAGTGATTTTCTTTAGACATTAAAAAAAAAATCCCAATGGCCTCATTGAATTTTTAAACTTTTCTCCATTTGCTACAAACATCAGTGCTTTATAAGAGTACCAGTATTAGTATAGTGCTTGGAGTTCCAAGTGTTTCTAAACGTATTTCTGTACAACACCCAAGTATTGACTCATCTCCTGGTTCTGGTTATGCATTCTCCCTGCACACTCTATGGTCATAGCCACAGCTTCGGCTCTACTTCCCAACATCTTTCTCCAGCCCTGATTTCATTGTTATGTGTGAGATCCCAAATCCCAATGGTTAGGAAACGTTCATCTTCAAGCAGTTTAAGCCAACTGCAATCAGCTTAAGAATACAGGAAATGGATCGTATACCTGAAAAGTCCAGTTACAGGCATAGCTGGATATGAGTGTTCTGTCAACAACAGCAGGACTCTGTCTCCATCTCTCGGTGCTGCTTTCTTTGCTGTCTTTGTTCTCAGGCAAGCTCACCCCAAGTGGTGACAAGAGGACCACCAGCAGCTCCGGGCTGACATTTCACCAGCTTAGCAGCCCGTGTGGAATGAAAGCTTTTCCTTTGCAAGAGTTCCCACAAAAGACCCAGGACCTGACTCGTATTGGCCCAGATTGGATCATGTGTCCATTTCCAAACGAATCTCTATGACCTGGGTTGGCCAGGCCTGGGTCACATGCCCACTTCTAGACTAGAAAAGCAGGGAACACAGCCCTACTAAAATCAACAGGACAGATTGTGGGAAAGGGGTTCATTTCACAAAAGGAAAATGGTGGGTCTGTTTCCAGAATAAGGGTGAATAGATACTGAGTTCCCCAAAACAAAAATGGTCCCACATCTTCTGAACCTCTCCAGCTGGATGTCCCACAGACAACCTGTGGCAAACCCAACATACTTCTCCCAAGCTCTGCCTCTACAACTGTATTCCTGCGTCGACGTTATGATCGATGAGCTACTTACTCAACTTGAGAACAGCCCTCACCATCTTCTGAAGTAAACTGATCTGCCCTTTTCTCAACACCAGTGCTTTCGCCCAGCTTTGGGATTTGGCATCTCTTCCCCAAGCTGTTTCACTGGACACCTATCTTGTTACTCTCTCTCCATTATCTCCTCCTGCAAACCACTCTCCACATGGCTGCTACAATCATCTTTCCCAAGCATTGAACTGTCCGTTTCTTCCCTGTGCCTTTGTTATTTTTTGGTTTTCCATGGTGATGTGGTACTTGGGGACCTCCCCACACTGTGAGTCTTGGTGGAAACAGAGTCTTGACATGAGCAAGTAACCCACGCTCTGTCACGAGCATGCACTGGCTTTAGACCTTGACTCTAGGGCTTGTGGCGCAGGATGGTAAGAGAATGAATGATGTGTTCCGTGGCTCTGGCAGTGGTAGCTACATCCAGCTTCTGGGGGCAGCCAGAATCATGCTGCTACGACAGCCAGCACCCAGCAAGGTTAATGGTGGAAGCTGCCATTTCCAGCCTCGGCAGCATGACCGTGGGCTCCCCCCAGGCCTGGTTTTGCGGTGTGATATGGGCTGAACCTCTGGCTTCAGAGCCTCTCCTTGTGTCCCTGTATTTTATCCAGACTGCTTCTCCGGCCTTCCAGGCAATTCCTTGAGCATCCTGGTTTCCTCTCAAACAATTCCTTTGAGCCTGTCTGAGCCAGGGCCAGCTCTGTTGCTCACAGCTACAAACCTTGACAGAGACACCCCTGAGTGGCTTCAGGAGAAAGTCTAAACTCCTCAGCCAGGCATAAGAGACCCTTTTTGATCTGGGCCTCACTCATCTATTCCCTGGCCCACTGCCCACCCCACAGCCCTAAGTGATTAGCAAAGCAGGCCTTTCACATCGGCAGGCCTCTGCCCTCCCCTCATCTCTTTCTCCACCTGGTAAATGTTGCCCGACTCAAGCAGCAACTCCTGCCATCAGCCTTCCCCTCCTCCCTTCTCTCCCAGCAGAACGGTGGACTCCCTCCTCTGGTCCCCTGCAGCCTCGCTCTGCGTAGGCTCTGATGAATGGCTGGCACCCTGTATCTGTGTGTGTGTGTGCACGTGCGTGTGTGTGTGTCTGCACATGTGTGTGTGTGTGTGTGTCTTGGGAGGGTCTTAGAGCTCCTCAAAGCAACAGCATGCCACCTTTCACCTCCCACGTCTTTGTGCCTCCTACTCTAGAGCCCAGCACAACGCTCGTCCCATAGTGAGCCCTCAACAAACACACAGTCAACAAAGAATAACAATCAAGGCTCCATCCTGCCGGCCCTAGACACAACACCCCACAGTTGCTCGAGGGCCAGTGTGGCATTCTTACTTAATAAAGCATGTTGGAAAGTGTTTGACTGACTCAGGGAAGAGTGCTTCGTACAAATTGCTGCAGACATTTCCATGGCATCTCTCTTGGAGATTCTCAGTTGACCCGCTGGGAAAGCTGTCTCCCTCAGGTTCTGGTGGCTGGAAGAGCCTTGTGACTGTGGAGCAGGGAAGATGTGGCTGTCTCTTTTGGCCACTGTGGTGGCCAGGGGCTGCTGCTGTCAGTGCCTCCCTGCCTTTCCCCACTCTCAGTCTACGTGGTCCCCTAGGACTCCACGCCTTGCATTGCTGCAGCCGAAACTCGTGTCCAAACAGTCAGCACATCGCCCAGGCCACAGCAATCAGCTTTTCTTAGGCCAGTGTTAAGTTAGACTTCCTATCACTTGTCATCAGAACTGAAATGTTTCTTGCTACATCAGCCACTAAACTCAACAGTGGGTGCCCAGCAGGATTAAGCGGGCCTCTTCTCACACAGGAAAGGGGTGGCTCCCTGCAGCTCCTGCCACACCCAGCTCTAGTCCGAGACTTGAGTCCCCCACACCCCACTGCAGGAGCTGACTGCTTTAGCTCCCCATTTGCCCCCTCACCCCCAGGCTCTTCTCTGTCTCCCCCATCCCAGCCCAGCCCTTCCCTCCTTCTCCCCATTCTCCAGGGCTCTGCCTTCTCCCCCTTTTCAGGAGCAATCACTTTCCTGTTTTCTTCTCAGGCAGCTAATGCCTCGCCATGTCTTGATTTCAGGCAGGCATAGACCACAGTTCTGGAAGCTTCACCCTGTTACCTGCTATAAGCAAGGAAGCCCATGGCATGGGTGTCATGGATGTTCATGAGTTCTCAGCAACCTATGAGCTAACAGGCTTTGTTATCCAATTTTTAAAACTGTGTTTCAGAGAGTGAAGTCACTTGCCCATGGCCCCAAGGCTGGCTGGAGGCAGAGTCAGGGCTCAAACCCCGGTCTGTGTGACCCAGACAAAGCTGAGATGGGCGAGCAGAGTGCTGATGAACAGAAGAGGAGGCAGCAGAGGAGCCGAGAACACACAGATTCACTTCACAAGTCGTGGGGAAGGTGTTAGAACATGTAAGGGCTTTTAGCCAAAGTACAGTCATACATATTGTAGAGGCTGTCCTGGAAAAAAAAAAAAAAACTGTAACTATGAAATGTTTGGGAAAATAGCCCCCTTTCCCAATATGTTGTTCAGTTTGTCACAGTGACTGTTGCCGATTTCCAGACAGCTTGACTTGCATGTTATATGAGTAATGGCCCCTCCCAGCATGCAGTTGCCAGCACGGATGGCTGCTGTGTCCTTCAAAGCACACATTTCAACAGGCTCTAAGATCCCAGCAAAAAAGCGCCCCAAATCCCTTTACTGCATAAGACAACCTTGGGCACGCCTATGTGTGAGCAAACGCTTTGAGGGTTTCTCGAGTGGAAGCATGTGTGTCATTTTATGGAACGGGGGCAGAGGAAAAAGAAAAGATTGCTGTCTTCTTTGTCAGCCGCCCAATATGCACAGCTCAGGGGTGGGGACGCAGAGCCAGGATGTGAATGCCCACTCCCCTCTCGCTGTTTGTAGTATTGAAAACATACTCAGCCTCTCAATTCTCAGTTTTCTCACCTATAAAATGGGGGTGGCAATAATATGTTCCCCCTGGGGCTATTATGAGGATAAAATGAAACGCTGTAAGGAGTTGAGCCCACCGGCACACGGTTAAGCCAGCAGTAAATGTGAGTGACCATCATTCCGGGTTTTTTGGTTTACGTTCTCATTTTTACTCAAAGGACATAGGTTGCTTTTCCACCAGGAAAAATACGAAGCTTGGATTTTAGGATCATCTACGATAAAGCAGCAGCATTCGTTTTCTTTGGTCTTTCCTTCTGAGCCCAGCAGTCCTGAGAAGGACGTGACCGCAGGGTTTTCATCTTGCACTTCAGTGGAAGAGAGAGGTGACAAACAACAGCTCGCAGAGGCAGATAATGTGTATCGGAGTTCCGCCCCAGCCTCCAAATTTTGAGAATTCTTTCTTGTTATACCGGAAGTTTCCTGGGGTATTTAAAGAGAAAACAGCTCACATCATTCCCTCCTTTCCTCCACCTATGGAGAAAACCCAGTGAGCCCCAACAGACCCACACTGACTGACCTGGCAGACACTGAGTTGCCGCTCTGGACCAAGCACTGTGTCGGGGCTCTCCCTGCAACCCCTCACTCAGTTCCCACCACAGCCTCATGAAGAAGCACCTGAATCCAGAGGCAGCGCGGCTTAGGGGCTCAGCATACGAACTCTAGACCCAACCAGCCGGGTGTGAATCCCAGCTGTGTGACCTCAGTAAAGTTACTTGACCTGTCTGAACCTCAACCTCTTAGTAGCATAGAAGTGAAGATATGTCTCGTAGGGTATAGTGAGGATTAGGTGGAAGAAATTGAGAACAATGGCGCCCCCGGTAAGGAATTGAAATTACTTGATAAGTATCAGCTGCTATTATTGTTCTCACACCTACCAAAGTAGACTGGCCTCCACAGATGTTCTGTTCAACATCCACATCCCCCTCTTCTGGAAACCATTCCCCAGTTTTATTTGGAGGCTTCTCCCCATTCGTTGTAGACAGTCTTGGGTAAACTGTCAATCAAGTTAATCCAAGAAAGATATGGATAGCCCCGCCTAAAAATTTGCCAATCTCTCTAGGAACTTGGCTGGGCACAGTGGCTCAGCCCGGTAATCCCAGCACTTTGCGAGGCTGAGGCAAGCAGATTAGTTGAGGTGAGGAGTTCGAGATCAGTCTAGCCAACATGGTGAAACCCCATCTCTACTAAAAATACAAAAATTAGCTGAGCACGGTGGCATATTCCTGTAGTCCCAGCTACTCAGAAGGCTGAGGCATGAGAATTGCTTAAACCCAGGAGGCAGAGGTTGCAGTGAGCCAAAGATCGCCTCACTGCACTATAGCCTGGGCAACAGAGCAAGACTTTATTTCAAAAGAAAAAAAAAAAAAAAAAAAAAAACAGGCTGTGCACGGTGGCTCACACCTGTAATCCCAGCACTTTGGGAGGCCGAGGTGGGCAGATCACAAGGTCAGGAGATCAAGACCAGCCAGGCAAACATGGTGAAACCCTGTCTCTACTAAAAATACAAAAATTAGCCAAGTGTGGTGGTACACACCTGTAATCCCAGCTACTCAGGAGGCTGAGGCAGAAGAACTGCTTGAACCCGGGAGGCGAGGTTGCAGTAAGCCAAGATCACATCAATGCACTCCACCCTGGGTGAAAGAGGAAGACTCCATCTCAAAAAAAATGTAAGTATCTTTGGGGCCAGAAACAGGATAGAAGTGCAATGTAGTAGGCAGTACAGAAGCCACAAGGTTCCTGAGCACTGGCACCAGGGCAGGGAAGGAACCCGGAAGATTGGCTTTCACAGGGTGATA